GTTAAGCGAAATAATCCAGACAGAAAAACTTGAAAAACACATAATATCATTTACATTTTGGATATAATCCTAAAATCAACAAACGAACAGGGCAAAGAAACAGAGAGAAATGGACAATAGACTAGTGGTTACCAGAGGGTAAGGGAAATGGGGGAGGGGAGAGGTAGATGGGATAAAATGGGTCAAATATGTGGTGATAGAAGGAAATCTAACTAGAGGAGTGGAACACACAATGTAAATATATATATGCCTTACTGTTAGAAACTTTCCAAATTCCATTAGCCGACGTCACCGTTAAAAAATTAATTAATAAATTGGTAAAAATAAAAATATACAGCTGAATCTTACCGGATTTCCTTAACTAATGTCACCATAAAAATAATAAATTAATTTTAAAAAATGTGAGAAAAAAAATCTTAAAAAAATCAAAGTCCTAGACAAGAAAGTCAGGAATTACCATAGCAAGAAAAAGGGATGGATTACAACTCCAAAGAGCCCAGTGATGAATTAGAGCTGCTTTTGCCCAAGGAGTCTTTGCTGAACAAGTAAATGAAGCTTCAAGGTAGACTTTTTTTAGCATTGGGAATGAAGATAACCCACATGGAGTCTCCTAACTCTGAGTGGTATGTGAGAGCATAAACAGTCTCCACTCGAGAAGAGAAAGTGCCCTGAAAAAACAAGTATTGGTTAAAGTAAAGAGGCAGAAAGGACATTCAGAGAAGAAATTGAAGATATAGGAGAGTTTTCTCATTATAAAATAGAACCTCCAGCGAATACAGTGAAAAATGTTTGGAAGAGGGGGAGCATGAAGAGTGAAGCCTGGTGTAAAATTTTTGAATGGGAGATGTCCTTTTGTTCTCATCCTATGCCACCATCCATGACCCATATCTACCAGAATTCATTACATTCCTGAATGGCATTCTTTCATGTGAACAGATATCCTCAATTCTGTTGCCTTCTTATCCTATCTGTTCACCTATGCTCATGCCTTATACCCCAATTATAACACCTCACTGAAACACCCTCTAACTCAGCAGTTGGCCCAAAAATTTAGGACAGGGAACCAAAATATGTATTTTAGGTAGCGCTGTGCTCAACCTGACACCATTACCAGTGTGAGTATCTGGTCCATCAAAAGGAATACGGGATAGGGAAGTATTTATAAGAACTTACCTGTCACCTTAGAAAAGTATCAGATGTTAGAGACTTATATCAGAAAAATCAGCAAGGAAGGAGAGGGGGAAGAACTCTTGGGACTGGGGTAACATCAGCTGCTTCTTCAATGAAATCAACAATCTTTTCTAGACCATGGCAATACTAGGCCCAAATTTTAACATTGTAGCAGTAGGTTTGAGTGCCTATCCAGTTTACTGGCAATTCAACATCTAGGAATTTATTCTGAAGAAATTATTAGAAATGTGGGAAAAACTTTATTGATAAATATATACTTCAGCATTAGCTATAATATAGAATAATTGAAAATAATATGTTTGATAATACAGAATAGTTTAAATAACTTGTAGTACATCTAACAAAATGGAGCCATGAAAAATAATGTTGCAAAATCATATTATTTAACATGGGATAATTCTTAAAATATTTTTTTCTAAGTGAAAAAACCCATTTACAAAATAGTATGTATCTTATGATACCTAAAATTTTAAAATATAAGTGCTCTCTCTTCCTTTCCTCCAACTTCTTCCAACCCCTCATACCCAACTTCATCTATCTATCTCTAACTAGGCCTAGAAAAGCTTACACCAACATATTAAAAGTGGTTATCTCCAGATACTGGGGGTGTGGGTCATTTTTTTTCAGTATTTGCCAAGTTTTCTGCCCATAGGATGCACTTATTTTATAATTATTTGAAAAATATGAGTATTTGGTTAATAAATAGATTTTCTATGGCAATAGGTCACAAATGCTATTTGAAAATTCTTTGATTCAACTTATTTTAATCAAGTTTTAACTTTTCAAATTATATGAACAAAAGAAATGAACAAACTAAACGAAAAAAGACTCACAGATACAGAAAACTAACTGGTGATTGCCAGAGGGGAGTGGGGTTGGGAGGCTGAGTGAAAAAGGTAAAGGGATAAAGAAGTACAAGTTAGTGGTTAAAAACAGCCACAGGGATTTAAGAGCATAGCATAGGGTATATAGTTAATATTATTGTAATGGCTGAGTGTAGTGCCAGATGGGTGCTACAGTTATTGGGGTGGAGGGGGATGCCTTCATGGTTTGTATAATTGTCTAACTTTTAAAAATTTAAAAGAAAAAAAATATATGAACAAATGGTTTTGGGGGCTACTCTATGAAGGATTAAAATGAAGCAAAAATGACTGTTCTAGAATATATATTCCATGGATGGTTGAATATAGTAGGGAGCAAGTCTAATATAATCTATAATGTTATTTTCTAGGACAAAAACACTGGTAAAGTCCACCACTTCCCCTATGAATCCCAAGTGCTGTTAATAAGGACCAACATATTTTGTTTATATATCAATTTATTGTGGGAAATTTTCACTTCGATTAATACATCTGTATTTAAAAGAAATCAAGCATCAGGAATCATCTTCCCATTCCTCAAAGTTCCAGATAAGGCCCACTGGACTAATTGCTAATCCTGGTATTCAGTTCTCTGGAGATATTTTGTCAAATAGATATGTAGAACAAATAGAAGAGTTTTTCTTTCTCTTTAATTTTTCATCAATTCAAAAGATACTGTGGGTCCAAATATGATACATCTTGGCCATGGAGAGGTGAGAGGTTGGCCTATGTTAGTATATGGCAAATTATGTCCATTTTGCCAAACCAAACCTGGTGGAAGATTTCCCTGTCATGGTGGCTGGGAAACACAGTAACAGCCAACCTGATGTTGACAATGATGATGGTGGCTAGATCACCCTGCTGGATCATTTGTATAAAGATTTTGAGTTATGTCAAGAAAAAGTAAGTGTTGGACAGATGGGGAGGGCACAAAAGGGTACTAGGTTGTGGGGAAAAAGTGAAGAAAAGGACAGTAAGAGCAAAGGCATGAAAATGAGAATAAGTATGGTGACTGCAGTGGGGAGTTAAGAATGGTTATGCAGGGAAGTTAGTTTAGTGGAGCAATAAGTAAGACTGTATGAATAGTGTAGGACCAGACTATGGTGAGAGCTCCTTAGAAACATAATTTAGGTTTGGTTTGATAATCAGTGGAGAGCTCTCTGAAGTATTTCAGCCTTCATTGTCTTTAGTGCCATATAAAAGTGATGTTTTAGGAAGAAAAATAGCTAGCAATTATTGAATACTTTCCCTGTTCCAGACAGTGTTACAGTGATGTTTAAGAGGGTGACCTCTGGAGTTGGACTTCTTTAGTCCAGACTCTGGAATTTACTAGCTATATGGCTTTAGGAAAATTACTTATTTTCCTGAGTCTCAGTTTCTTCTTCTATAAAACCGATGTAAAAATATCCACCTCTCAAGTGTGTTGTCTGTATCATATAAATTGGAGAAGAGAGGACCTATGAACAGGGAAGTTAGGAAGCTATTACAATTATAGAACCTATAAAAAGGTGAAAAAAAACCCACTAGAATATACAGGGAGGACAAACTGCATAGAAAAAGTAAACAAGTAGGACAGGTGACTGTCCCTCTCTCCACTAATCTTGCAAGTTCTTTATTTCTGTTCATTCAACATACCTGGTAATTTGAAATTAGTCTGAAGTATACAGTCCCTCTCTGGACATTATCAATTGTTTGTTCCTTTCCCTAGAGCTACAAATAACCATCTGCTATCTATGTTCACCATTTCAACATCTCCTGCAACATAGAATCCAAACTCAGTTAAAAAGCAAACAATATGAAACAAAGCAAAAATCTTTCACTGTCTTACATTGCATTTCCTAAAAAAATTTTTTTGGTTTGAAATTTCTTCCTCCACTCTTGAGTTTGACAATCAGTCTTCCTGTGAATTCTCACAGAAGCAGGATTCCCATCTTAACAAAAAGCAAAACTCAAAAAAGAAATCCAATCCTGCGGTTTCTGGGCTTAGGAAACCTGAAACTTTTTAAAACCTGAAACTTTTTAAAACCTCTGTTGCATTGCTCAGTCCTTCAGTGCCCAATTCCTGCCACCAGCTAACCGTCAGAACAATCACTACATAATAAATAGAAGTCTTAAAATGCACAAGGTTTTGAGAGCATGGACTTTCTTACTAGTGTCTGGATTCAACAAAGAGCTTCTTTGTTCAAGGAAGATGTCTTATTTGTCTATACTTCTGAGCAGGAAATTCTATGCAGAACTTCTAGTCTTCGCGGGAAGAGGCTCTTCATTCTAATCTAACTAAATTAGATGTTTCCTTTATGTATTTCTTTATCCTCTCCTTCTTCCCGGGGAGGAAATGGTCAAAAATAAAGGTTTTAACAGATCTCGCGATGCTATTCGAGATTCTCCATTTAAAAAAAAGTAAAAGAAAAAGAAAAAGAAAAAAAGAAAAAGAAAAGAAAGAAAGGAGGGAGGGGGGAGAGAGAGAGAGAGAGAGAGAGAGAGAGAGATAGAAGGCCAAGAAAAGAAAAATCAAATTACTTGCATAAAAAAAAAACAAACAA